GGTCCCGCCGGCACAGGGTAGCAGGAAGCTCTCCACACACTCCTCCAGTTGGCTTTTCTCTTTTGAATTTCTATATCACTTCATCCCATTTATTAGCTACTCATATTCCACTTAACTTTTTACTATTCTTGAATTTGGTAAACACAACTCATGTTTTCATCCACTGTTACTAATAAATCTTTTGAGAAGTCTAGGACCAAGGTCAAAGAAAGCTGTCTGGTAAGGCAGTGGATTCTCTTCTAAATAGACTATTAATCAACATTGAGCCTCTGAATCATCAAGCAATTATAGAATACTACCTGTTCAATTAATAGGTTATGACTCTTGAGACATGGTAGACCTGTTACATTAGTCATTCTCAAACAAAATTTTTAATGATCCTTTATTATGATACACACATGAACAAGTATGCATAAAAGGATCCGGGGCTTTAGATTACAACTTTCAAACTCTTGTCAGTGTTCTTTAACAAGTTCTTTCTGGTAATCCTCTCACATGTAATCTCAAACTGTGTGAGCACGTGTGATTTTGGTCCACTCACCTCCTAAACATATATCTTATTTACATTCATCCATCCTTATTGATTTCCTTCTAGTTCTTGCAAAAGGGGCCATGGCCCTTTTACCCATTCTTCCCTTTAAAACCTTTCTGTCTCAGTGACTACAATAAACATTGCTTTTGACTTCATTATATCTCTTGTAGCTTCCTCTCTGATAACTGGGTTTGTTTTCTTATCCTACAAACATTTGTAAACACCTGACAAATGAAATTTAACATATTACCCCTCTACTGCACCTTCTTCTTTCCATAAAACAGTGCCAACATCATCTCCACTTTGTCTACTTTTTTTTTTTTTTTTTTTTTTTTTTTTTTTTAACCGGGAAAGGAACTCAGGCCCTTGCACTTGCCAGGGAAGCACTTATTCCACTGAGCTCATGTGCCCAAAAACAGGGCTGGTGTGGCATGTGGCACCAGGCATCAAAGGTCCTAAGTTTTTTTTTTTTTTTTGTGGCAGGGCTGGTGTGACATGTGGTGCCAGGGATGGAACCATGGTCCCTGCAATTGCCTAAGCTTGCCTAAGCAGGTGTGGCACTTTAGACCACTGACCTATCTTGCTGGCCTCGTCACCAAGCAATCTTGTTTCTGATTCTACCACTGTACTCAAAATACCTACTTTCTGAGATTACTAAATCTAAAGGGCCTGTTTTAATCCTCATCACGATGTTGCAATTCTTTGTTTCCAAATTTTCCTTTCTTTCTAATGTACATTTAGTTCTCTCATCTAACAATTTCTTCTTCATGGTCTAAACACTGCCATGCCATTTAATGTTGCCATCCCTTAAAATTTGTCACTTATTATGCATGAGCCCTCTAGTCCTAGGGTTTTGAATATTGACTTAATGTACACAAGTCTATATTCCAGAACATTTGATCTACTGTTCAAAAAATATATCCATATAATTACTTCTTACTCATTTCATTGATATCTCTTTCATGAACAGGCTGTGTCAAACACCATAGAAAACTCCAGTGAATGAAGACATAGTTCCTAGCCTACAGGAAAGGACCTAGCTAAAACTATAATTTTTCCAAATTTGGTCTAATCTTCTTTTCCTCCTAATAGTTCCCATCTCAAATGAAGCATTCTCAATCCACTTATAATCCAAACCAGAAACTTTCAGCTAGCCAAGATTTTATCTTCTTTATTTTCTACATTCAGTAATGGTCCAAATCACATTTTTCCTATGTTCTGGTATTTCTTGACACTTTTCATTCCTACATCACTAAACTAGTCTTCAACATCTGTGGGTTGAGTTTGCAATAACTCATTAACTTTAACCTGCTTCCAGTCTTTTCCTTCTCCAACCAGCTACCAGTGTAGTTTCTTATTTATCTTCCTGTTTACAATATGCATGTGTTCCTTACCCTCCAGACTGTAAGGCATACATAATAAAGCATGGCATATTAACAATCTCATTGCTACTTTCCTGTCTGGTCAAGTATTTCTTCTCTTTTCTACAGGCCCTTAAACTTTTTCTCAGTAACTCTACACTACAAGTTCACAAAATATATCTGGTTTTATTCATGCCTCTGTTCTGCATCTTCAAAATACTTGCTATTGCATTTACTGTAATCTATTTTTTATAATGCATTTACATGGGTGTCTCTCCTAATAAATAGTTCTTTTTTTTTTGTGGCGGAACCAGGGATTGAACTCAGGCCCTTGCGCTTGCCAGGGACGCGCTTATTCCACTGAGCCATCTCCCTGGCCTAATAAATAGTTCTTAAGCACAAAGTCTATGTCTTATGCATGTTGAACTCTACTACTACTTCACCTAGGGCCTGAGAAGTACACATCAACTAAAGTTGAGACTTATATATACATGTTACTCTTGAAGCAGACCATTAAGAGTCATGATGTCATGATGTTTTTTTCATCAATTTTTCTTTTTTTTCCTTTGGGGTACTGGGGATTGAACCCAGTGCATAGTAGGAAAATGGTCTATTGAGCTACACCCCCAGCCTGATGTCATGATTTTAATGTGTTGTCAACAGTACCAGTGAGAAGTACTCAATATAGTTTTGTGGAATTGAAATATTTACTTAAATCCTTACACTAAAAAGTTCTTCAGTGCATACTTAAAAGTCTAATATGTACTGACCTACTGACACACAAATTCACAAATGCCAAGTGACCAAACAAAAGTAGCTTCTTGCCTATTTCAAAGTAAGCTGTAATTATATATCTTGCTAGATTCAGCAACACCTGTTGAATGAAGTAGTAGTCTGATATTACCATATGTTCCATATACATGGTTTGATTTTGAACTTAAGTTACCCACTTTCAAAATACTTCTTGCAAATGTTTAAGTAAAATTTGAATATAGTTTATCATTCACATGATGCATGTGCTTCATAAGCTATTACCTCCATTTTATAACCAAGGAAAACAAACACAGGTAACGTCATGTGCGATTAAATGTTCCACATGTATTCTGAATCTCAGCTTACCTTCATTGGCAGAATATTTTACTAATAAGATGCGACTGGAGCTTAAGCCAACGAATACAGCACCCAGTAGAAATGGATACATCGTTGGGAACCACAGAGCAGGCCGCCTACAGCATTTTCTTTCCATTCTGTTATTTAATTGCCTTTAAAAGAAGAGCACTTCATAAGCAACTCTTGATGGCATACTTAATGATTCTGCACAATGCAAATATTCCTGACTACATAACAGAAAAAGAACTTTTTAAATATTTGGCTGTGACTGCCTGACGGTACAGTTCAGTAGTACAGGCGCAACAACACGGAAAGAAAATGAAAAAGTCGAACTCTAAATAGGACGGAGTACTCGAGATAGAAAAGGATCAGGTTATAAATGATGATGGCAAAGGTAGCAAGTGAGGAAGGGGCACTTAAGGACTGCAGAAAAACAACTGTGCGTTCTTATTAGCAACTTTGGTGTACAAGAAAAGGATCTTGAAATTGTATTTTTCCTCCTCTGTAGCAGTTCTGAGCTTGTTCGTAAAGACCAAATTAGAAGAACCAAAATGAAAATACGTGAAACCCTGCTGTGACATTTTACCGAAATTAAACAAAAGAGCTTAATCTTGGGTCTCAATAGGAAACCCTCTTTGGACACCGGGCATGAAAATCCTCGTAGGGATTACCCTGCCCCAAACCTCCCAGTACCCGCAAGAACGACCCAGAATCGGTAGGGACTGCAGAGTTGTCAAATTCACAGCCAAGCTGGGCGCGGCGTAGGACACCAGAGACAACGCCCCTTCCGGGGAGGCCAGGTCCGCCCGGCCGGCAGGGAAACCCTCCCCGCACACATGCGCAGTGGGCATCTCACGGCGGCCTCCCCACCTCCTACGCACGCGCAATAATGTCTCGCGGGCGCGGTTACCTCACTCCCTCCAGAGATCTTCTGGTGGGAGAAAGCGCATCATACAGCTGGTACTATCTAGCTCCGCAATAGCAGTAGTAGCCTTTTAGGTTCCATAGGCAGGGCAGGTATGAGAGAAACAAAGGCGAAAAATCCTCTGCACCCAGGGCTGGTAATCCGGGATGAAAAGCAAGATAAGATCCCTACAAAGAAGAGCGTGGGTTGGCGCCCATTGCGCAGGCGCGCCCAGTGTTCCGCTTCCGGAAGGAGGGAGGGGCGGCCGATCCCGCCCCGCGAGGCTCTTCTCGCGTCACGTGAGGAGAGTCGAGTGTCACGTGAGGCCCAGGTGGCGGCGAGCTACGGCGAGAGAGCGAGAAGTGGAAGGGGAACCGGAAGGGCTGCGAGTGAAGCAGAAGGGAAGAAGTGCATCTGAGAGGGCGAGGGGTGCGCGTGCACCCGCCTCTTCCCCCAGCTCTGCCCCGGCCCGGCCCCCGTGCCCGGCGGCCAGGTGACAGCGGAGCCCGGCACGCGTGCGTCGCCCGGGCGCGAATCGCGCGGCACCCCTCCCCCGCGTTCCGCCCGTCCCGTTCTGTCCCGTCGCGTCGCGTACGTCCAGTCCGGAGCCGTCCCTTAGGTTGCCGCCGGCGGGTGCCGATGCCAGTCGTCCGCCGCGGGGGCAGCTCTTGACTCCGGTCCCTGTCCGCTGCCCTGCCGTCCCTCTCGCGGCGCCGGCCGCTGTTGCGGCCCCAGGATGCAGAATGTGATTAACACGGTGAAGGGAAAGGCGCTGGAAGTGGCCGAGTACCTGACCCCGGTCCTCAAGGTAAGCCGGGCGCGCCGCCTGGGCCGTCGGGCGCACGCTGGGCTCTGCGGGGAGCGGGCGCCGGCGCTCCCTGCTCCGGGCGGGGAAGGGACGCCGCGGGGTGGGACGCTGCGGAGCGACAGCCCCCGCCTCTGGCTCTCTGGCTGGTCCTTTGGGCTTCCTGACTCCCCGGGCTTCTGAAGCCACCCTCAGTCCGAGCCCCTGTTTGTACCAGTCATTACGCTCCGGCTGGCTAGAACAGTAAGTCTTAACATCGGAATTTTTAAACGAGTAGTTTTGCTTATTAATTTAAGGAATGAAGTCAGCGTTGGAAGCAGATTTTCTTCTATGTTTCATGGAATATTAAGTCTCAAGTAGGCATATTGTAATTTAGGTCCCAACTAGTTTAGATTTCAGCGGAACAAAGTGAAATTGATAACACTATCTCAGTAACATTGATCCCAGCAAAGTAGCAGAACTTCCTTCTCATGCTTATAAAGTAGCTGTAACTGGTTATTTATTTGGGGTTCACAGTAATACGCAGCTTGATATCCGTGAGTATATAACTTTTGATACACTGTATTGACATCAGTACAAACGGTTTAAAGTAGAAGTTGCTTATAGCAATAAGTGATTCAATTGTTTATTTTCAGAGATAAAGTTCTACAATCACAATTTTTTTCTTTAATCACATTTATAACATTTGTTTGTAACGTTTGCTTGCTAAAAAGTGAGCAGTGATAAAAAACAAAGGACAAGTTCTTGGTTTTATTTTGTTGGTTCTCTTTTGAGCTTTCAAGTAGAATTTTACTGATACTAGTGTGGGGATGAAATATTCTGATTATGCTAAGAGAAATAGGGAAAAATTGTCCTTGCTCCCTTTTGTTGACATTGTTACATCTGTGCTTTTAAAATACATACTTATTTCCAAGATCCATTTAAAGATAGTATTTTGTTGGGCCAAGACAAGAAATCAAGAAGTTATTTGTAATGCCCTCTTGCTTTGCTTATATTTGCTTGCTGTGAAAATCCATTTAGTTAAGGTTATTCAACTACTTAAAATTTGAAAATTTTGACATTTGCACTGAATTTTTTTTGGGGGGGTCAGTTACATAGCCTTTTCAGAACAGCCTGTGTAAGGTCCTTGAAGGTGGGTTAGGCATGGGCCAGAGGATCCTCTTCCCTTGTCTCCTGGGGTCCTCTTGTTACCATTTTGATAATACGCAGTGGTTACAGCTTTTTATTTTCAAGAACTAACAAAAAGGTTTTCCAAATTAAATAATTTTGTGCAGTGGTTGTATACTATACCAGTTTCATTTTATTAAATGTATGACACAGAATTGTTTCGAAGTCATTTTAGTTTTTCACCAACTTGAAAAGAGAGCATGTTAGAATGTATGACCTCTATTTTTAGTATAAAAGAAGTCAGAATTAATGACCAGCTTGTTACTCCAGGACTGGGTATTTAAAAGTTTCCTGCTAGGTGAGGGAAGGCAAAGAGAAGAAAAGTACTAGTGGTCTTCTCTTAGCAATAAAAGTTAAGAAGAGTTATGGTTTTGGGGGGGTGTACATTACAATGAAAGTCCGCATAATGGGGGCTGGGGAGATAGCTCAGTGGAATAAGTTCAGTCCCTGGTTCTGCCAAAAAAAAGTCCTCTTAATGGTCTTCAAGGCTTCTTGATCAGTAGAGTTTCTTATCACCTGCTACTGTGTCCCAGGGTCACTCCTGCCTGTGAGCCAGCCTGATCTCTGGAGCTTGCTCAAGCAGTCACCTGCATGAGGTTTTGCATTTATTTGTCTTTTAGCCTGAAATACTTATTTTTCCTGTAGACAGCCTTAAGGCTTATTCATTCACTGAGATGTTCAAGTCTTTATTGAAGTCTTTATTATCTTTTCATTCTCTTTTTAATGGCTGTCTCTCCCCCACCACGCAAGTTTCCTCTCTTTTATTTTTCATGATATGGTGCGCGTGTCTTCCTCAGGTAGAAATTAAGCTGCTTTTGATGGCAAGGATGAATTTGGTGTGTTTTATTTACACCTATATCCTACTGCCTCCGATTGCCTGATATTTGGTAGTTAGTAAATATTTGTTGAGTAAATAATGTTTATTCACTAAATGAACTTGTGCACTTTTGTAGGTTATTAAAAAACTCACATGTTTAGTAGATTTAGTAAATAGAATTCTTTAGAGGAAAGTATATTGTTTTACTATCTTGATGGAAATGAGAATAATGGGACATATTGAGCAATTTCTACTTTGGGTTTCTAATGTTACTTGGTTTAAATAAGGCATTGGCTGAATTAAGAGATTTCTACACACCTTTAAGACATTTTTACGCTGTTGTGAAATGTTCATTGCCCAGTCACTGTAAGACTTACTTCATGTTGAAACCTTTGAATTTTTTTTTCTTAGAGCTCATTATTGCTCTGGTGGAATTAATTGTAATTATTTTCATGTCAGTTTTTTGTATTAGACTTGTATATCATTGTATTGAAGTACCCATAATACACACATACAACTTTACATTGTTGTAGTAACAGTGATAAGTGTACGCAGTTCACTTTTTGTGTATGCTCCTTTGCCTGAAGGGTTCTAGGCAAATAGTTGCCTCCAAAGCAGTTCTAGTTGAAAGTGAAAGATGTGATACTGACACTATTTTTGTTTTCTTTAGGAATCAAAATTTAAGGAAACAGGTGTAATCACCCCAGAAGAGGTAAATGTTAAAAATATTCTGAAACGTTTGTACTTTATATTAAATTGAGCACTTACTGCTTTGTAAGAAAATATCTGGAACTTTCTGACTTGAATAAAATTAGATTTTGCTAATTATATCCTAATTTATGAGTATATTGCCATGGATAGAAAATGTAACTTCCTTCTCAGTTTGCCACTTTTCATATTTCTCTGAAGTTCTATTTATTTATTTATTTATTTATTTTTTGCTCCGAATGCCTTCAGGGCATGATTGGCTGGCTTGAGTTGTGGGGATGGAACCACAGCAACCTGAACCTGACTGCTTTGTTGAAGCAGCCACTTAAAGAACTGAGCTAAGGGGTGGGCCCCCTCTCTTTATTTAGAAATGAAGGTGGAGAGGGTGTGGAACAGACTTCTGGTCATTTATACTTTACTCACATTTTCATTAGATTGCACTGTGCAGGGGGCTGTGTAGTGTTATGTTCTGGATAGCTACACTAAACGTGAATTTTCATGTTTTTCCAATTGTGAATTTTGTTCACCGCTTATTAAATTCTCTTAATATGATATTCAGCATAAATTTTATATTTGTCAGATTCCTGCTACTGATTTTTTTTTTTTTTCACTTTTTCAACTGAACAAGTAATAATTGAAATTGGTTAATATTTCACTGGCCAGTTGCGTTTTAGTGTTTTATTGATTTTTTTTTTTTTTTTTTCTTTTGATAAGACTGAGGATGCAGCCTAGTGTGTTCACACTGAGCTGTGAGCCCAGGCCTTTTTATACTGAGACAGGGTCTCCTTAAGTTGCCCAGGTAGGACTTGAATTTGCGATTCTCTTGCCTCAGCCTCCTTCAGTTCTGAAATTGCAGGCAAATGCTACAATGACTGGTTTATTGAACCTTTACAACAGAATTATTTTTTGAGGAAACATTTCACTTATTTGCTAAATTTGTGTTATAAAAAAGTTCTTTTTTATTGGTGTAGTTTATTCACAGGGAAATAAATGCTATGGTAAAAGTCTTTTTAAATTTCAGTTTTATGAAAAGGTATGGTGTTCCTAATAACAGGTAAAGAATTTAAGCTTGAGCTTTAGCTCACTGAAAACACTCTCTGCTGAAAGAATTGTATTGTTTTTAAGGAAGTATTTTGAAATCAACTATGTTGTATGATGAGGCTGCTGTTTCAGGGCTCTAAAGGCCAAGACCTCAGAATAATTAATCTTTCAATTTTCACATATGACTCTCCAGGCGCAAGTACTTTTGAGTTCTGGAATGTTTTACTGAGCTGATCTTTTATCTGAAACTTTTTAATAAAGACTCATGGTGGTATGAAAAGAATTTAGGGAACTTGCTTTCTTTTGTTTTGTTTTTGTTTTTTAAGACCATCTGCCCATGTGATTCAGGCTGAATTTGAACACAGGCTGGCCTCTAATGCGTAGATCTCTTTGCCTCAGCCTTTCAAGTGCTGGGATTACAGGTGTGTGTCACCATGCCTGCCCCTGGACTTGGTTTTGAGAGCCATTTCTCTGATACTTAAGCAAGAAAGTTAAGCTGTGTAGGGAACAGCCTCATGTTGCCTCATACCTAAGATTTTAAGGGTTCAGACTAGACATTTTATGAAGATCTTATTTTACTGTGGGCTTCATGAGTGTAATAGTTTGATTGCTAGATAGAATATTTTGATTTTAAAAGTGTCATCATTCTTGCTAAATAAAAATATAATTTAGATACAGCTTTGTCAGTAGTACTGTCTGAAATCAAGAGTATACGTGAAGATATTTATCTCCAATATGTGAAGATGCCTGTTAGATAGTTGAAGTTCAAGATGCAGGTCTGTGGTTGTTGGCTGTAACTAAGCTGTTTTCAAACAGAAATCCTAAAGTGAACTGTTAAACTCATGAAGGAGTTACAAATTTTCCTTTTAAAAAAAAAGTCCGAGGTAAAACTAACCCAGCTGGGTCCCAAGCATGGACGGCTAGGTTGAGTGTAGCACCATGAGGGGACTGAGGGAGATTAGAAAGAGCCGGAAGGAGGAAACTGAAAGGCAGCATTTGCTGTGGATAAAGTCTACTGCCTTCATTTGCTCCTTTGTTTCTTCCTACTGCTTCTAGATAAAGCTTTCAAAATTCTGCCTGTCAGTGGCCAGCTATCTTTTTGTTTGAGAGTTGTCGAAGTCTTTGTGCTCCACATGAGGGGCAGCAGTTTCTAATACTGGATTGTCTGAAAAAAAAAAATCATTGGGTGTGGTTTTTGAGGTGTATTAATTGAAGAATAAAGTTGCTGACCAAAATGTAAATACTGATTCTGTCTGTTGGAGCTACTTATTAATAAGTTTGACAAGAGAGTTGAAGTAAGGAAAGCTGCTGCAAACAGTGGTGATGATTCGAAGTTTGACTACATGTTATTTGAATATGTAAAAATAATAATGGTTGTTGCTACTGAGGGCAAATGCACACATGTACTGATTATAGCTGCAGTTTTGTAGTTTTAAATGTTTTCTTTTTTATCTTTTGGGTTTTGTTGTAATTTTTTAAATAGATACCTCCAGACTGATTTCAGAATAAAATTAGTCATGTGACTTCAAAGCAGTATGCTGCAATTCAATAACTTCTAATGAATTGTTTGGCTTGCATTCTGGTGGTGATGAATTAATTCCAGATAAACAGAATTAAAGGTAGTATTTGGTTCCAGTGAATGCCAAAATACTGAAAAAGAGATTGTTGTTTTCATTTTCTTCTTGTCTTAATAAGTTTAAATAATATATTTTTCAAGTGAAAGAACAGAAATAGTTTTACACTTTCTGTTGGGAATACAGTTGCTTTATTGCATTTTGATAATGGACCTTTGTGAAAGATATTATTCTCAAAATTCTGATTTGATAGAATTTTATGTGGGCGTACTTTCTCAGAAAGGCATTAAAAGACAAAATGTATTATACTTTCTTTTCTTCCTATGTAACAAACCCCTGAACAATACAAGATTTTAAGTTAGATCTGTTGTGAAATAGAGGTAATTGGGAAAGTATGTGCACATATTGCTTGGGTTGGGACCCTCATTATGCTTAAAAGACTTTTCATGTCTTTTTTTTTTTAAAATGAAGAATTCTGTTTCTCAGTAAGGTCACATTGTGTCCATGTAAATTGGAAATTCTCAAAAAATTAAACTGCCTCTCTATGAGTATTTTATTTCTAAAGAAAATCAACAGCTTGTACAATGTTCAGTCTGCCCCAAAAGTCCAAGGTTGTTAGAAGGTACAGTTTCTTAAATTACCAGTCCAAAAATTTTTTTCCTGTTGTGAGTCACTACATTTGTTTGATTACTAATCATTCCTTTAAGAGTATGATAAAACTTTCAAAACTGGCCATTAATTAAATGAAAAAATAAAATAGAACACTGGATATGTAACTTAGAGTGCTTACCTAGCATGCACCAAGGCCCTGAGTTCAATTTTCCACTGGAGAAAACCCAGAGTATATACTACTGTGTTGTGATGAAGATATATATCATTGACCTGTATCTGTTTTTAAGATTTTAGTTGAGTTTTTAGTCAGCATGATTCTCTGTACATTTTATTTGTCCTTAAAATGGATCTTGGGGCTGGGGAGATGGCTCAGTGGAATAAACACTTCCCTGGCAAGCACAAGGGCCTGAGTTCAATCCCTGGTTCCGCAAAAAAAAAAAAAAAAAAATTAAGGTGGATCTTGACATCTTAGCATTCTATAGCCTTACCCTTATTAAATTAATGATACTGTATGTTTGGGGCATTTAGTAAAATGATAAAATTGAATTTAAGAATAGCAGTTTTTCTTTCAAAATTAATTTCAGTTTTGGATGTTTAAAACTTTTACAGGTTAATAAAAATCTTCAAGTTGATGAAGCAGGTTTGGTTTGCAGTTTAATTATTAGGTATAAAGGCTACCCGAGGTAATCAGTTTGATATTTTGCCATCCTGTATTCAGTTATTAATTTTTCTTTTGCTTCTTTATTCCTTCCATATCCTGAAGTTTGTGGCAGCTGGAGATCACTTAGTTCATCACTGCCCAACATGGCAATGGTAAGTGTACTTAAATGAAAGGTAATAAACTTTAGGATTATGACAATTTCCCTGTAGGAAAGTGCATGAAATTACAGTGACAAATTTAATGAACTTTCTTTTAGAACTCTCTATTAAATTGTACCTCATTGATATGTGAAGAAAAAGTAGATATGATATCTAACATATTTTATTCTTATAAAGACAGACATGATTGTGATAAATCCTTTTTTTCTTTACTAACGTTGTTTCTGTACCCTGTAGGTCTTATCTTCAAGTTCCTTAAAAAATGACATCCAGGAATTTAATCGATTTGGTGAATTTCTTTTTTTAAATTAATAAATGTTTATTAAACATTTTTTACATTTTAGGAGTTTTATATTTTCTTTTTTCCTTTTATGTACTTTGTTGTCGAAGGGTCTCACTATGTAGCAGCATGGACTCATAGTGATCCTCTTGCTTTCAGCCTCCCCAGGGGGCGGGGTTGGCACAGCATGTGGTGCTGGGGATTGAACTGTGCTTGCCTAGCAGGTGTTTTAGTCCACTGAGCTATCCTGCTGGCCCTTATATTTTCTTTAAAACATGAAATATAGACACTTTTTAACTGTTAAAAATTGCATTCTTTCCTTAGTAATTAGCTAAACTTAAATATTCATTAGAGGTCTTAATTATAAATTTGCTTATAATAAACTTTAGATTTTATTTCCTTCATAAATTTTTTATTAAAGTAGTATATATTTTAAAATATGAATAATAGTAATATTTTGAAACAAATGCCTTTTCATTATTTTCAAGTACTAATGTTAAAAATTTACTTAAAAACTAATCTTAATGACGGCAAAACTGTTTTGGAATTTATCAGCTTGTTTGGGTATAGTTTCTACAACTTGTTAGATCTTTTTTAAGTTTGAGGGTTGAACCCAGGGAATATTAAGGGACATTCCTATCCCTATTTTGAGATAAGGTTTTGCTAAAATGCCTAACCTCCTGGTATCGTCCTGCCTCAGCCTGATGAGTAGCTGAAATTGGAGGCATGTGCCATCAGAACTGCTTTTTCTTTTTTTCTTCTTTTTAGTGACATTTCTCTGGAGTAATTGAAAGGTACAGTTTGATTAAGAGCAAGGGTTCTTATATTAAAAAGGTTCTAATTGATAGAATTTAGTATTTTAAACCAGAGTTAGAACCTATTGTGGTCTATTTTATTTTCCTTTGTTTTTATTCATTTTTATACCTGACATGCACTTATTGCCACTGCTTTTTATCAGATGCTCTGTATCTTATTTTACAGGACATTATTTCTTATGTGTCAAGAAAGAACAAAATAGCCAGCTTCATTTTTTTTAATCTTTTTTATGTCTGTTTCTGTTCCAAATTTAAAAGAAATCAGCTCATGACATAGAAGAAGCTGTCTGACTTAATAAAGATTCTTCCCATCCTAAATTTTCTGTTCAAGTCAGTTTCTAGCCTATAATTCATATATATTTGAAGTCAGATAAGTATAAATATTTATTATAATAATGCTTTTTGTGACAAGATCTGATTTAAGATTATCTTCAGTATAGTAGATAGTTTTTCTTACTGAGATTTCTACATGGTAGGTTTTAAGTCATTTAAAAAGCTAAAATGTCTGGGTTATAGTATTGTTATAGGAGTTGGTATATAGTCAGAATTTTATAGTGAGTGTTTGGAGTATCTGTTTTAACAGTTCTGATTGGTGAAAGTTTGTTTGCTTATTTTTTAACATAAGCCTATTTATAACCTCCGTTGTCTGTACTTCTGCCTGAGTTGATGGATCTGAAGGAATTAATAATTTTAAGACATTGTGAGAAACAGATTATTTCTATGTTAATACCTGTATGCAGACAAGTGCTATCAGCACCTTATTTTCACTTCTCTCAGAACTTCAGGTGTTTCTATCGTGTTGAACTGAACATTGATGTTTCCTTAAAAGAAGCCTAAAAGGCAGTCAAATGATGTTAGGACATTTCATGGATGTTTTGTGCTAAAATCTATGGTTTGAAAGTTAATCTAAAGCTTTAAAAGCCAATTGTGTTCATGGTTATGCTCATATGTTTGTGAAAGACCACATCCCACCACTATTCTGGTCAAGTTCATTGGATGGCCCTCAGAATGTTTAAACAAACTCTTATGGGAAGCTGAAATAGGTTAGAAATGTTATAGTTGGTTTTCATGTACAGAATTTAAGGATAGAAATCCTAAAGTCAGGTGTAGTGGCATATGCCAGTAATCCAGCTACTTAGAGAGCCAAGGTAGGGAGGTTCACAAGCTAGAGGCTAGCTTTGGGATGTGAGGTCTTGCCTTAAAGTTTAAAAAATAGGGAAGTAGCTGAGCTATAGAGTATGTCGCTAGTATGGTAAGACCCTGGATTCCATCCCTGGCACTACACACACACACACACACACACACACACACACACACGAGCCCTGGAATTACGTGGTTTGATCTTAACTCTTCTGACCTGGTTTTGTATCTGCAGGCAACTTGACCCCTTTAAGCTTTAGTTTACTTAGGTGTAAAATGGGAATGTTGTTAGTACCTGCCTTTTAAAGTTATAAAAGTTGATACTAATGTATATTAAGCTTCTAAGTTCTATGCTTACTGAGAAGCTGATAAAATGGTTTTGTTTTAAGCATTATCTCATAGATCAAAGCATTTTTGCCTCTTAGTTCTAATTTTAATAAAGTGGTAGGAATGGGAATCTTGCCAGCCACTTACTTTATTATATGTCTTATAGGTTTTTCTTTTGCCTTTTGATCTCAAGGTAAATACTACATTAAAATTAAAAATCTAAGATGAACAGAACATTAGGATTAAAAATCTGGAAGATTATGTTTATTGAGGAATACTATTTTCATTTTCTTTAGACATACTAGTTATCTATTTGTCTACATCTCTGACTGTATTTCATTTATATAGTCTTCATACTTTTCTATAACCTAAATATAGGTTGTCTCAGTTACTCTTCTCTTGTTGCTGGGACAAATACCTGACACTCAAAATGAGGGAAGGAAATGTTTATTTAACTCAGTTATTGGAGGTTCTAGTCCATACTCAGCTGGCACCAAGGCCGACTGGCACATGGCAGAGGGCAACAGCTCATGGCAGCAGTAAAGAGCAAACAGGAGGAGTAGCAGCAACAATAGCAACAGGGATGAAGTCTGTCTCTCTTAAATTGCATTCAGGCTATCCACCTCAGGCTGGGGGAAGTATATAATCCATAATCCCAACTTTGGATCACCCATAATCCCAGTGGATCATGAGTTAATCACAAACTGTATAAGTCCCCACCCCATGACTGCATGAGGCTTTGGGGGACAACTAGGCACAAACCATAACATATGTCAAGTAATGGCATCATTTTCCAATCTTAAAGCAGAATTAAAATATTTTATAGTTTTACATGTGAAATTATCCATGTAAATTTGACTTTTAAAATATTTCTGTATTTTGATCCCCTCTCCTGTTTTTAAAGGGCTACAGGAGAAGAATTAAAAGTGAAGGCATACCTACCAACGGGCAAACAGTTTTTGGTAACCAAAAATGGTGAGAATTATATTGTATAAATTAGTATAATTTGCAGTTGCATTAAAAGGAACAACAAAAATTGTTTATCCTTTCTGATCCTAATTTGTGTCTGAAGATGTGCTTAGGACTTAGCTTAGAAATTTGGAAATTTAATAAAACCTCCATGTTTTCTATTTCTGTAATACTCCTTTTCTTCTTTGATTTGTATCTCTTTAACTTTTTGGGGGAATAAAACTATTCACTTGGCAAGATGTAACAGAAGGCTCTACGGAAAGTTAGATTTCTTGTAAAAAAAGGTAATTTTTTGAAGTTGACTTTCTATTCTTTTTTTTTTTGGTGGAACCAGGGATTGAACTCAGGCCCTTGTGCTTGCCAGGCAAGTGCTTATTCTACTGAGCCATCTCCTTGGCCCCCATTTTATTCATTTTTTAGCTATTTGATTTTAATCTTTTGATGTAAATTTTTCATGAAGAATGCAACTGATACCAATAACGTCCAAGTTAAAAGATTTTATTATTTGTTGTGCCATTGAGGGATTTCCTAAGGCACAAAAAAATATCTTTTGAAATATATATATTTATTAAGTGAATTTGAAGAAACATCAAAAGGTGATGATTGTCCTTAAATAATCATATAGCAATACATTGATTTCTGTTCTAATTTACCTTACAAGGCAAATTGTAACAAAAAGTATTTTCTTTCCTACAGAATACATTTATTTTTACAAACAAATGTATTAAACTGTATATAAAAGATTAATAGCAACTTGACCCTACATCATGTTTTTACCCTATAATTGCTCAATTTTATAGTTATGAATAATATTTGTTAATTGATACTTTCATTATAAGAAAAATTTGGCTGCAGTGTTTGTATAAGAAAGTAAAATTTAGCAATTTGTTGAATTTTAAACTATTTAAAATTTTCTATCCATTGTAAATAGCTGAAACTTGAATATGACTTTTAAATTAATGTTGGCAAATGTTTTGATCTCACAACTAGAGATCACCTCTGCACTTCTGAGTATGCTTCCTTGTTCAGAAAGTAAAATAGTAATTTAAGGTATTAATGGTTAGTGTGAATTGAACAGTGTCGCATGGCATTAGCTTATGGTTCTTCACAGACTGTGACAGTAAAGGAATACATAGAAAACTCTCACCAGAGTCTTTCTGCTTTTCTTCTATCAGAGCAATTTAGGGAAACATTAATGTAGCTAAATAATTATGTATCTGTAGGCTTAATGTACGTTTTAAATTAATGGATCTCATTAGAAATGAAATAGCATTTAATATTTTGGTAGTATAAATGTCATTTTTATGAAATAAGCTTTCTTATTAAGATAAATTTGTGATGTGTTGATTATATGGTAGTAACTGCCATTTTTGAATAGTGCCATGCTACAAACGCTGCAAACAGATGGAGTATTCAGATGAATTGGAAGCTATCATTGAAGAAGATGATGGTGATGGGGGATGGGTAGATACATATCACAACACAGGTAAAAGGAGACTACAATGACATATTTAATACGAGTTGTTTAACCCTTTCACAATCTTTTATAACAGTCTTGTGTTTTTATTAAAAAAAAAAAAAAGATAAAGGTCCTGAGATAAATCCCCAGTTCCACAGGAAAAAAAAAAGTATAGGTAAGGCACCATTTTGCCCAGTCAATTTTTATCTGAAAGAAATACAGGGACAAATTAAAAAGGGTCTTTCAAGTATAATAGATTTTTATTGTATTGGTTACTTCAGTGACAGTTGGAAAATTAGAGCCAATAAAAAGTATCGGCTACATACTTATATGTCATTGTATTGCTGGAGTATGAGCTCCTTTGTGAGAGCAACTGAGAAGTAATCTTACTTTACCCAGAAAACTAGAATCTATGACAACTTTCTTTTTTTTTTTTTTTGTGGAACCAGGGATTGAACTCAGGCCCTTGTGCTTGCCAGGGAAGCGCTTATTCCACTGAGCCGCCTCCCCAGCCCCTGAATACTTATTTATTGAACAATTATTAGAAGATATTAAGCTATAAGCTGTATGAAAAAATTTATTTTTGAATATTCAGTATTTATCACAGTGTTTGCTATAGGAACTAAATTTTAAGGTTTTATAAGTGTATGCCTGCATGTGCTACTTATCCTTTGTTTTAGCAGGTTAGACTTTTCATCAAAGTTTTAAAAGATGAGCAAGATACACTTGGCATATTAGGACTAAATGTATTTTGTATTTAGTTTTTTTCTTTTTCTGTAATAACTTAGCTACTTCTGTTCTTGCTGAATTTTTCATCTTTGTTAATCTGAGAACACTGACAAGGTATTTTGACTTAGAAATATTTTCTAGTCTACTGGTTATTCCACCTGGATAATAGTTCTGTTGAGGCAAGTCATTTCTGTGGAGTTTGTTTATTGAGGAGCAGTGGAAAATCAGCGAACCAGAAGTCAGCTTTTAAGGATTTTAATTTCAGCATCTTCATAACTGGGTATGAAACTCAGGTCATTTTACCTCTCTGATGAGTTCATTTCTACATAGGGAGAAGTTATTAATCTTTACTGCTTCACACGATAGTGCTTATGAGGATTAAGTAAGATATGGAAACGGTAGTGTGCCTCATGTAAATGTGTTACTGTGATAGTATCTTTGGATGTCTTAGATTTCTGAAGGAAATAGCATATTTGCAATACCACTACCTAGTGGAGAAAATTTTGATACATGTTTAATTAAAGAAGTCCTATAATCTTTTAATGTGTTCACTTATAATGCATTGTGCTACAGTACAATAGGGATAGTAAATGGGGAGTGATAAAACAAGGAAAATTCATGGTAAAATAGAAAGTTAGTATGTTTTTCATTTGAGCTTGAGGATGTACACCTCAGGTTTTGTATTTGTATTGGGAGTTCACACGTTAAGGTTTTGTTACTATTTGCTTCTTTAAAGAGGTTGTGACGGTTTAGATAATTTTAAGTTTTTATGTTGTTTTAAGTAAATAGACTTTTATAGCTTAATTTCAGTTATATTCTGAATTTTTAAACAGGTATTGCAGGAATAACTGAAGCTGTGAAGGAGATCACATTGGAGAATAAGGTACTGTTCACTTAGTTAACATCTCTATGGTCAGTGACCTCATTATTTGCCTACATGTAAGATAACACATCTTCCATAAGCACAGTCTGGTTATATACAGAAAGATTTTTTAAAATTTTTTTGATACTGGGAATTGAACTCAGGACCTTGGGCTTGCTAGACAGGTGTTTATGCCGCTGAACTATCTCCCTGGCCCTCTGGTTATACTATAGAATCAAATTGTACATATCTTCCCCTTATTTTTCTAATAGGGTAGACTTTTTCTGCTTGTAAGTTTTCATTTAATTCAGGCTATCTGTACTAGCTTTCCATTTCTTACTTAGAATGTGATTATCTTCATATTTTAATAGTTATTTGAAAATAATAATAAAAATAAAGGAATGATAGAAAAATAATAGAAATACCTTCACCTTAAAAAAAAAAAAAAAGTAAAAAAATACTAGGGGTCAAACCTGGGCCTTACACATGCTGGAGAAACATTCTACCCCTGAGCTATATCCTCAGTGCTTTTTAACTTTACTTTTACTTTGAGATATGTTTTCATTGGGTTGTTCTGGCTGGCCTCAAACTTAGTTTCTTACTCTTTGAGCCTGCCAAGTAGCTGGAATTACAGCACGTGCCTTGTCATTCAGCTCACTTGTAGCTTTTCTTAATTTCAGTAAATATTCAAGTCTTGTAGCAGATAGAATATTTTGGATGGGATCATTCTATCCCTGTTGTTATAAGGAAACATTTCCTACAATATTTGCTAATTTAAGATAATTCGTATTTTCATTGTGACCATTTTAGGGATTTGTATTTATAGTTTAAAAGTATAAGATAATAAAGTAAGTTCATCTTTCAGTTTTACACTGGGATTAAAATTAAGTTCATTGGCTTAAGAATTCATCCTTTTAAATTTCTACATTTTGGAGTTTAACCAAGGAGAAACAACACAAGTGGTTTTCTTGCTTCTGAAGATCTCATGTATTCTGGCTATTAGTGTATCTGCTTCAGATTCAGAATGATAAGTGACAGAGTAATGTAACAAGCATTTTTGGATATGTTAAGGCAGTGTTTTCAGGAATTTGTGTGTGTTTTGTAGTCCTAGAGATTGAAGCCAGCGCCTGGCGTGTAGTAGGCAAGCTATCTCTCAGCCACATTCTCAGCCTTCGCGAATTTTTTTGTTTTAAATCTTATTTATTTATTTATATGGGCAGGCTCTTGCTATGCAGCTCAGACCTGTAGTGATCCTCCTGTTTCAGCCTCCCCAGCTCTGGGATTATAGGTGTGTGCCACCATACTGGTTTTGGTGACTGGCAGGGCATGCCTGGGGTTTCAGGGAGACATGGCATGTGGTACTGGAGAGCGAACCCAGGTCCTTGAGCTTGCCAGGCAGGTGCTTAGACTATTGAGCTCTCTCCTCAGCCAGCCTTCACGAATGTTTAGTAAATATAACAGTTATTATGACGCTTGATACCCCATTTCACATCCTTACGTTCTACTAAAGGATGAATAATAATTTGCAAATAGGATATATCTTTCCTGTGATTTCTTAATACTGTATAGAGTTTTTTATATTTGTTACATATATTTAAAATTATTTAGTTCTTAGGATGCTTACATCTAGTACCAAATATTAGCCTTTGTTGCTGATTTCTACTCTATTTTCTGTATCAAGCATGAATATTACCAGCATAGTAAAAAACTCCTTCAGTTTCTCAGATATTAGCTCATTTAATAATTACCCAGATGCTGGTACTCTCTTCTTGATTTACACTGGGTATTTTACTCCAGTTTCTAGTGGTAAATAAAGCCATCCCTCGGTACAACACAGCTCCAGTGAGACTAAGTGCCCAAAGAATCCACTTACCATATCATTTTCTTTTTTTATCAATTTCATATTATTAATTTTGTGATAGTGATAACTTTTAGTGCTATTGTTGGCTAACATTCTTTTATAATGAACTAGAGTTAAATTGAATTAAAATCTTATTTGTTATAGTAGCTAAAGTGTGATGAGTTTTGGTTAACTCAGCTAGAGTATTTTTAACAAATTAGAATTGATAATGTTTGATTTCTATCTTATTTTAGCTTATACCTACATTGAGGTTTATAAGTAAGGTTTTTTCTTCAGGTAATAAGTATATAGCAGTACCTCAGTTCATGGAACTTAATTTGTTTTACAGTTTTGGAAAAGATGGCTACATTTTTGTGGGAAAGATGACCACAGTTATGTTTGTCATCTGATACATAGTTTGCAAACAAAACCAAAATGTTGCCAGATACTTCTGTTTGTGAACCAAATTGTTGGCAAACAGAAGTATTTGTTAACAGAGGTACTACTGTAACAGTTAACATAATTGAGCTAGTTTTCTAAAATTAATTGGTTAAGTAAAAATACTGTGTTGTTGCAAGGGAACTGGTAACTTCTTAAATAGCTAGATTAGGTGAGCAACTCTTGTTGCTCCCATACCACCTTGAACTTTTTCAGTCACACATCCCTTAGCACATTAAGTGATTGATTCAGGGCTGCTGCTCCCGCTTCTTTTTCTTTCTTTTCTTTTCTTTTTTTCCTGTAAGACAGGGTCTTATTGTGCAGCTGAGGCTGTCCTTGAACACACTTTGTAGCAAGGGTGGGTTTTCAGTGTTTGAAGCAATATTTAAGTGATTTTAATTAATTTCAAAGGATAGTATAAAACTCCAAGATTGCTCAGCACTGTGTGAAGAGGAAGAAGAGGAAGATGAAGGAGAAGCTGCAGACATGGAAGGTATTTATTTATATTCTAAATTGGCTTTAATGTTGATTCTGAAATATTTGTAATCCCTGTGGATTAAGAATTTTACTCTGATTTTTTACATTTTATTGTTTTCCAATTTAGGGAGTTTGTTTGTATTTTTCTATGAAAACCTGAATTTTTATTTTGCCATGTTTCCTAGACTGGTTTTGAACTCTTGAACTTAAGCAATCTTCCTGCCTCAGCCTTCTAAGTGCTGGAATGGCAGGCATGTGCTACCATGCCTGACAAGATAGTGATTCTTTATAGGGTCTTTTAAACTACTCAGCATACCCTCATAGTTTACTGAGGTTTTGAAGTGACCCCTTCTAGGGTTAACACTTAAGAATCATTACGTTAATAAAACATTATTACAACTGACCAAAACTTGCTATGCTAGCAGAGTTATACATGTCTGTTAGTATACAATAATTGAAACTTTCCTATTTCATTAAAATAATCTTAATATACATGAAACCTCAGATATTTAAAAATAGAAGAAATTGGTATCACCAGGATTACCTCATTAAACCTGTTCTTTTCATACTTCTGTTTATTATTTGATTTTGTTAACTGTCTTTTCTTTCTTTGTTTCTGTGACATTGGACTGTCTTCTTTCTTGACTTTTTTTTCGAAGTCATCTTTTGGGGAGTTTTTCCTTCTGCCTGGTTATTAAATTCTATCATTTCATGGCCACCTTCTTCCCTGCTTCCTTCCTTCCTTTCCCCAGATTTTGAGTATTCTTGTGGCTTCTGAAATCACATGTGGTGGTTAGGCTTGGATATATGTGCAGCAGGAAAGACCAGATTCCCTAAGAGCAATTAAATATAATTAGGGATTGGGAAGAAAGAGAAAAGAAACAAAAAGGAAAGAAACAAAGGAAGATAGATGAGAGAAAAGACACAGGGCAAACATTACAATCTATAAGATAGCTGCATCCCAAAAATACCATCTTTTTTAGGTCAAGAGAGTTATATTTTATAGCCTGCAAAAGTAGAAGATAGTGCCAAAAAGATTTGAAGACCATAAGTGCAAATCATAATTGCTGGACTGTAAGTACCTTTTAGTTTAGTTTCCCAGATACTTTGAAATCTGCATGAAAATCTAGCTGTTTTTCTGTTTTAAATTTTAGTGAAATTGTTGTCCTTATTTCCATGATAAACTACTCTGTTGAGGAAATCAGAGTGAGTTATTTGTAACCAGAATTTCTCACATATTCTAAATTGGCTTTAGTGTTGATTCTGAAATATTTGTAATCCCTGTGGATTAAGAATTTTACTCTTGATTTTTATATTTTAGTGTTTTCCATTTTAGGGAGTTTGTATTTTTCTGTGAAAACCTTAATTTTTATTTTATTTTTACTTTGCCATGTTTCACGTACCATTTTTGTGCTCAAGACTTCTGTATGTAAAACTTCATCTGTAGCTCCTCAACTTCAGAACTACCTAGTTTTATTACCAACTGGATGTTTCACAACTGGTAGAAGCTGAGCTCATCCTTTTGTTATACAAATGCTCTTTCCTTTTTTTTTTTTTTCTGGTGGAACCGGGGATTGAACTCAGGCCCTTGCGCTTGCTAGGGAAGCGCTTATTCCACTGAGCCATTTCCCGGGCTTCTACAAATCCTCTTTCTGCATTCTGCCTGTTTTTGAATAGCATACAGTTTTGTCCAGTCTGTGATGGGGATCGATAGAGCGCACCCTGTGAATAAATCACTGGTTTTAGAATACAACCTGTAGAGCTGCCTTAAATATCTAACAGCGTTTCAGTATGTTTGCTACTTTTCCCTTGGATAATTGAAGGATTGCTCTGTGTGGAATTTGGCTCCAAAACGTGTTCATGATGTTTAATATAAGGTAATTTTTATTCATTTACTCAATAGATATTTATTGAGAAATACAGTATTTGTGGATCAGCAACTTCTCAGAACTAGAGAGGAAAAGCAATAGGCATGATATTGTGGACTATAGATTATAATGAGAGAAAAGCAGAAATGTAGATAAGCAAAATGTAGATGTTTATTGTTGTTAGAAAAATAGGGAAAGGGGGTAAAGTGTTGACATTTTTGATAAGCTGATCAGAACAGTTCCACTGGGAGTGTGCCATCTCAGTCGAGCCTGGAAGTGAGTAAACAAGGTGTTACTCTGGGAGTTGTCTGGGGGAAGAGTGTAGAGACCCTCCAGTGGAAACATGTATGGCTCACGTAAAATAATTGCAAGGAGATTCTTCTGTCCAGAGTAGAGAGAAGAGCACACTGGTAAAGGGTGGTCAGAAAGGTAACCACAGGCTGGATTGTATGGCTCTTGACGAATTCAGAGTAAGAAAAGGTGACATAGTTAGGTTTTTGTAAGTGAAAGAGTAACATGCCTTGACATTTACCAAAGTGTTAAGCATATATTGACGGGGAAGAGAGGCAGCAGTTAGGAGGCTATTTTGATAAAGGGAAGAAATGATAGTGACTTGGGCTAGGACAGTGATAGCTAACCTCCCTTCTGCTCCCTTCTCCCCTCCTCTTTTTTCCTCTCTCAACTCTTCTCTCCTTTTTCTTTCCTTCCTTGTTTATCTTTTCACCCTCCCTCTCCTTTTTCTCTTGTCTTTCCTGAGCCAGCACAGGAGATACTGAAGGAGCAGACAGTAAGGTGGGAAGAAAGTAAGAACAATAAAATAGCTTAAAAGCAAAGGAAAGAAAGTGCTCTAGAGAGGAGAGAATAAATTATATTTCTGAGAGGTCAACTAGGATGAAAACAGAGAACTTAGCACTCAGTAAGCAAAGTAAAAATTATTGGAGACTTTTTCACATGTTGTGTTCTCACTTTTCTACAGTTTTATTTGTGATGGAGTTGTCCACGGCCAGTTATGGTCTGAAACTATCAAATGGAAAATGCCACAAATAAAAGTCATCTTTTAAATCTTGTGGGGAAAAAAATCATGTGGCATTCTAAATAATGCAGTGAAATCTCGTGCTACCTCTCTCTGTTTCATATGTGAGATGAGTTTTTCCTAGCCTACCCTTACTGTATATGCAACCTGCCGCTTAAGCATATAGCCATTCAATTACCAGGTCAACTGTCATGGTATTACAATGTTTCTTTGTTCAAGTAACCCTAACTTACTTAATGAAGACTCCCCCCCTCAACATATAACAGTAGGAGTGCTGGTAATTCAGGTATATCAAAGAGATGCAGTAAAGTTTTTCCTTAAAGTAAAAAGGTGAGGGGCCTGGGGAGATGGCTCAGTGGAATAAGCACTTCCTTGGCAAGCACAAGGGCCTGAGTTCAATCCCTGGTTCTGCAAAAAAAAAAAAAAAAAAAAAGTAAAAAGGTGAAAGATTTTTTACTAGATACTTACTGAAAGAAAAATACTATACACTGTGTTTGTTAAGCTCAGTGGTTAAGGGGCCCTGGGAGATGGCTCAGTAGAATAAGTGCTTGCCTTGCAAGCGCAAAGGCCTCAGTTCAAATCCCTAGTTCCGCAAAAAAAAAAAAAAAAATCAATGGTAAGAACAAATATTCTCTCTTTTATATAAAATTATGAAGAAGTGAACAAGTTTGTTAATTTGGTGATGTACCTCAGACTAATGTTATACCCTCGTGTATGATAATAGCTTAGTTAAGATGAAAACCATTAAATTATACAGTTTTCCACTACCTGTAGTTTCAGGCGGTGACTGAGAGTCTTGAGCTAGCTCTGCCTTAAGAGGCTTCTGTTATATGTGAATAGTCCTGTATATGCTGCAATTCCTAAGGACTCTATAGTGTTATTATACCATTTGATGTATCTGATAAATTAACAAACATTGCCTAGCCATGCTTACTTTCTCTGGCCTGTCATGCAAAGTATTATGGAAGTATAGCATTGACTTGTTTGTATATGTTATGTATCCTCAGTTAAAAACAAAAGCAAAACCCCACATTTTGATTGATACTCTAATACATAGTTTTATTTGGAGAGTTTTCTTGAACTTAATTAATCTTTTATTTCTTTTTGTGACAGAATATGAAGAAAGTGGATTGTTGGAAACAGATGAGGTTTGTAAATTGAGTTTTTCTAGTTAGTGTTTAATTAGTGTACTTATACTAGATTAGTATTCTTACTATTAATGACATGTTGATCTTTCAGAATTTTACGCTTTTACTTATATATGTTGACATATTAAATTTGAATTATTGGTGAAATATAATTGGTACCTTCTTAGTTCCCAGATGCTTTTTTTTGTGAATAATTTGGTTCACAAACAAATGTCAGGCAAGATAGTGTTTTTGTTTGAGTTCTGCATCATGTAATAAACATGACTAAGGCCATCTTTTTCAGAATTATGGGATGAATCAAGTTCATGAATTGAGCTACCACTGTAAATGTATATTGTATATAAAATATATTTATTTTTATATACATAAAATGTTAAATTATAAACTTGTTTACTTTTAAGAAAAAGGCAATATAGAATGAGAGAAACATGTTTGTAGACTATCACCTTCATGTTGACTTAATGACTAACTTTTTCTCCAGGCTACTCTAGATACAAGAACAATAGTAGAAGCTTGTAAAGCTAAAACTGATGCAGGAGGGGAAGATGCTATTTTACAGACCAGAACTTATGACCTGTATATCACTTATGATAAATATTACCAGACCCCACGACTATGGCTGTTTGGCTATGATGAGGTAAAAAAAAAAAAAAAAAAAAAAAAATGTATGCTTCAATGTAAATACTTTAAATCATTGCTTTGTTAGATCTATATGGGTATGATGTTTTAAATCTTAGAAATCATTTGTTTTACAGTTTTATGATTAATGTTGAACTTGGTTCTTATTTTGAATAAATTATTCAGTGAAACACTATTTAAGAATTAGACATGTTATCTGTGTTTTCGTATTTCTTTGCCTCTAAGCTTATCCCTTTAAAGCATAAGGAAAATTGAACTTAATAAATATTACTAAGTTTTGTATATTATATGTGTTACATACATAAGCTTTTCCAGAATTGTGTCATATATCTTTTTCTCTTAAGACCTCTTTAATTCATTTGAATAATTAATTAAAGGATAAATAAAATAAAGTCAGGTTTTTAAAAAATCTTGTAAGACTGGCTGTGGTGGTGCATGCCTGTACTCCCAGCTCTTGGAAGGCTGTAAACAGGCAGATCAATATGATTTCAAACTAGTAGTGAGACCCTAAACACCCTCTAGGCCCTTCCCTAAAATACAAAAAAATAAGAAAAGAAAAGAAAAGAAAAGGAAAAACTTGTAATTCTTACTAGAAAAGGAAGTAAAACAAAATATGTCTAAAAGATTAGCTATGAAATTGTAGAATATTTTAATAGCCACAAACTTGCATCAATGAAATTTTCATTAGGTGGTAGCAGATGTCACATAGCTTCTAAATGCAAACTCCTTCTCCTGTTCCCTCCCTGCCTTGATATAAATTGTAAACTTTAACCAAAATAATCTGGTCTAAATAGTCTAAAATTTTAATTTGCAGGTATGGTGAGAATAGGAGGATAAATACAAAATAAACACTGAGGTATGAGCTATGCACTTTAAAAGTCATTTCAAAGCATTCGTTATGGTTTCAGCAACGGCAGCCTTTAACAGTTGAGCACATGTATGAAGACATCAGTCAAGATCATGTGAAGAAAACAGTGACCATTGAGAATCATCCTCATCTCCCACCACCTCCTATGTGTTCTGTTCACCCATGCAGGTATGTGTGTGGGTGTATGTTTATGTGTGTGTAGAGAGAGAGAGAGTATATGTGTGTGTTTCATGTATTGTTTGGGACTCTATAAATGTAGATCCTAATAGAAAATTTTACTTCATAAGCAAAGTTTTCTTTCATTTTCCTTAGAAATGTTTTGTGCTTAATTATACACATAAGAAAAGAAAAAAAAAAAAAAACAACCTCTTCAGTTTATTTTAACCTTAATACAGTAAATGTTGTTGTTGTTGTTCTCTTTGTGTGGTTTTAATTAGATCTGTGTGATTATAACCCTCGTTAGCTTGCAGAACAGCTTGGTTAGTTTTGGACCTAGGTATCCATCATTAGATAGGTTTGCACTATCATGAATGTATCTTTTTGTGGATGTAGCAGAGAGGTTAACCTTGGACTTTTCCTGGTTTATCTTTTCTCTGGTTAGTTAAGGGAAATACATGGATGAGGAATTTTTGTATTCTTGTTCTTTTGTTGAAAGGGCTTTAGGCTTACCAAATAAGCACCCTTTATAATATGGGATTTTCTATGTGTCACCCTGTTTTCACAGGGCTAGAACAGTGAAACTATACATGTTATTCAGAATTTTTCTTTAAAAAAGTCACTTACTGATTTCTTTCAGTTGTTTCTAACAGGTAGCTTCACAGTTCACTGAGAAATACTGGTAATTTACTGGTAACACTTTTAAATAACACTCATTTCATTGAATGATGAGTTTGCTTTTTCCTTTTTTCCTTTTCTCTTTAAAAAAAAAGTCTTTAGTATTGTTATTTTCTTCAGGCTTTGCATTACTACATTTTACCTTGTAGAAAGCCTTTTTCACATTTCTAGTTTATTTTAGGCCATTCCACAGGCTACTTCAGATTGTGCTACATAAAAAACTGACGGGACATTATTTAAGCCAGGAAATGTATGAAAGGTAGCTTTTAGTTTATGTGTCCAGTTAGTTTGAAATTACTCTTTCTGGAGTATAAAAGAGGTACTAGTTTTCAATGGATTTGTGAATAGGACAGAAAAGTTTAAATAAATATTTTTCTTCTTATAAAGTCAGAATTATTTTTAAATAGAATAAGATAAATTTTATGCTGTTATTATACTCAGTGAAACAAAGAGAAAGATAAACTTACTGACCCTGATAAAATAGCTTTTCTAAAACTATTTCTGTTTTGGTTTATTCTCAGCAAAGTATTGAAATATTCATAATCCAAAATATAGATATCTCATTTTTTCTCACTTTTACTGTTAAGTTGCTTTGAATTTGCATAGTCTGGATTCATTTATGTTTCTCAGAGACAATCATTGTTCCATATACCTTCCCTTCCCTTATTTTCTGCCTTTGTTTATCAGAAAGCTGACAAATACCATTGTGTATGGTAAGTTTTAAAAATTATTCCTTGCTCCAATAAAATGATACACATTACTCAACAATCTGACTTGTGTGGAGGGGAGAATATAGTATAATTGTTGGCTGGTGAGATAGCTCAGCGGCCTAAAGCAGTTGCTTAGACAAGCTTAGGCAAGTATGCAGGGACCATGGTTTGATCCACAGCACCATGGTTTGATTCCCAGGCACCACATGCCATGTCAGAGTGGGCTGAGCCGGCCAGCAAAAAAGAAAGTATAATGTAATTGTTATATATTAAAATTATTTCATCAAGGATAGTTTCTTCACAAATGAAATCATGCTCTTCTTGTTTTGAACTAGTTGAGTCATACTGAGATTTGTTCTTTGCTTTTAGGCACGCTGAAGTGATGAAGAAAATCATTGAGACAGTTGCAGAAGGAGGGGGAGAGCTTGGGGTTCATATGTATCCTTTCCTGTGTTTGTGCTTGGTAGCAGTATGACTTCTGGGATGTTTTGTTTGGAAAATCTAGTATGACCTTAAAGACATGCCTATAACTTGTTTTAGCCGCCATATCTAGAAGTTCTGGTAGAAAACTTCATGTAGGATATGTGTTACTGAAATAGATATATTCAGTTGATCAGAATATGTCCCTTTGTGTACCAGTTAACTTGTTATAGAGGCTACTTACTAATTTAGAGTTAGTAAGCATGGCTCTCTTTTCCTCAAGTATATTGCCAGTTTAATATGTTACCAAAGATATGTTTTCCCATCAGTTAGAGGTAGTTAGATTATGTCAACCTGTGGTTTCCCAGAGGCAAAGAATTGAACTAAAATAAAAAGGTTAGAATAGGAACTTCTTTAGCTGTTTTTAAAATATTTTTATTTTTCTCCAGAGAAAGCACTTTACATCTTCCATGAGTCTTTTCAGTTTCTCTTAGTTGTCAGGTTGATAGGAGGAATAAATACAAGTTGATATCCAAGTAGGTGATTAGGTGTCCAAGTATGTGCAACTGAAGCAGCATGGATTCATCAGAAGCACTCAAACTCAGTAACTTAGGTGCCAAATAGTTAGAAATAGGGTACCATCAGCGTTGGTGTTCATGCTACTACTCCTGTTAGATACAATAGACTAAAGGATCACCAGTATCTTGAAGCTGTAAGTAACCTAAGCATTCCTAATAAAGCATGTTTGCCAGAGCAACTTTGGGGTCCTTTGATACAGAAACAAACCAAGAACTTTTAATCCAAATCATATTTATTTCTGAAGATTTCTTATATATAATTTGTACATTCAGTGCTTATGTTGAAAGGCTAGGTAGCAACTGATGAGTCATTGATTTTCCCCATGAAAATTACAGCTCTTAATGTTTCTAGGTACAATAAAACAAAGTATTTCAAAATTGTATTAATGAAGACAGTCCAAAATGCTTTATTCTATGGTAAGTACATCTTTAACCTAGCTTTAGATCATTATGAAGGAGATTCACTTAACTGAACTTTTCTTTTGCTACTCTTATACTCTTCTTCTCTTGTAAGTTCTAGAAAACTTAAAAGCAGTAAAGAAAGTAAATTTCATATTCATTTAAATATGGACAATCTTGTCCTTATTTTCGTATTAAAGTAATTGGGCCTATGTGAACTTCTTAAGGTTCAGCTGAGTGTGTTGGGTACATGCCTGTAAACCAGCACCATGAGACACTGAGGTAGGAAGACTGCAAAGTATGAGCCTAGCTTAGAAACGCAATTTAGTGAGACCCTGTTTTAAAAATTTGAAAGGCAGGTGGGGGCAGGGTATAGATGTAGCTCAGTAAGAAGATTCTGGGTTTGGTCCCCAGTACTGTACACATCCTTTCAAATTCAAATGTTGAAATAGGTGGTCAAGCATTTTTTTGGGGGGCGGGGGGGTATCAAAGTTTGAACTTAGGATCTTGCACTTAAGCCACTGAGCTATCTCCCTGGCCCCAGGCATTCTTAAAGTTGTAGAGACTCAAGTTGAGTAGATACACATTTGCATAACTTGCATGATTAAATTTCTTTAATAAACACTCTTTTTTAATGGATAATTACAACGTAGACTTTAAACATACAGCTATTTGCCAATCTTATTTTCCTTAACCAAAAACCCTTAGGTATCTTTTAATTTTTTTGAAATTTGTACAAGCTGTCATTCCAACAATAGAATATGACTACACGAGGCATTTCACAATGTAACGAAGAGAATATAGAATCTGTCCTAATTATTCTGATTTTTAAAGAATTAATGCATAGATGTGACCATTGACCATATTTACCAATATGTATAATTTCTCTAATAAAGGGAGTTATATATGTTTATGCATTAAATAAAAAAGTTCCACTACTAGCCTTATTTGTTTAATAAAAATGAATGTGAAGCCATTTTTTCTTTTTAATTAAGGTTATAATGAGATTTCCTCAAAATAATACTCTTTAAGTGAATACATAGTTTGTATAGAATGATGAATGTTTTTGATGCACATGTATGAGGTGAGTGTTAAATAGGCAGTAGTGCTCAAGCTATACTAGAAAAAACTGAATTCTGGACTGTGTTTTCATTTTGTTCCATTTATTTTTCCCTTGCTTATTCGTCTTCTGTCTGCTAATAGTTAATATTTGTGAAGCACTAGGAAATATGCTAAGTATTTTTATTATTTTTTTTATTTTTATTTTTTAGGAAGGGTCTGCAGGGTGTTCAGGGTCTCATTACTAGATTGGACTCATAGCGATCCACCTGTTTACAGCCTTGCAAGAGCTGGGATTACAGGCATGTGCTATCACGATCGCCCAGTCTCAATTGCTGTCTCAGCGCGCCCGGGAGCTGGGCCAGCACTGTAGGTGCAGTGACATATCCCCCACCCCCCCCCCACCCCCAGGCCCTGTGCCTAATCTGCTGAGTTATTTGGCCGGCCCTATGCTAAGTATTAAGAATTCAGGAATATTTTTTCTATCATGATTGCCTGGCAAATTAGAATTTGAGGAGAATCCCTTTGTTCTATATTGTTAAGTCTGCAGGTCTGGAGTATAACAGTTGATAGAGCCAGGTAATATATTCTGGAATTGCACACTTTGGGCCAAAGAGTAGAACCCCGGAGCCAGGTCCTTTGACCCCTTTTTTCTTTAATATTCTGTATTTCCGTACATTGCCCCTCATTTAATGCTGTTCATCATTGTCTTAAAATGTGGAGAGGCTAGTCTTCCCTCTAAGAAATGTTTGGTTTTTTTACACCATCATTTAGCACTCCTTTTCTCTAGTGCTTTTTTAATATTCTTCCCTTTTCCAGTTGTCCCAATTTTATATTGCAAGGAAGATTGTATAATGAAGATAATAAGTGGAAGTAATGTGAAATTTGATAGGGTGTGATGTGAAAAATAAACATGGCTTTTATCCCGTTACATACACATCATCCTGCATACAGCGACGCATGGTCTTGAATGCCTGTAGATTTGGGGTTCTAAGGCAAGAGGATCACTCGAGTACAAGAGCGCAACACCAGCCAGCAACATAGCAAGACTTTTGTGTCAAAAGTTTCTAGACACATACACTGATTGTTTGCATAGTCAGAAATGCAGTCATCTGTCTTAATCTTCCAAACTGATTTTTCTAGAATGCAACAGCTAATGTATGTCACCACTAGATAGCATATTTTTAAATAACCTTTTTAGTGTCAGATCTTTTCCACTTGAAATCTTTGTATGGGTTCCCAGACATATACAGAAAGTATATTGGCATAAGTGTATTTCTTATGAGTTCACATGTATTCATTAGAACTAAATGTTAGGTGAACAATGGATCTGTGTTCAGCTTAAAACTGAAATTACTGTGGATCATCTCATAAGCCTTTATGTTGAATTTTCAGTTTTATAGTATTTTAAAACATCAGATATGTACAAGTAGTAAGAAATGGTACTAGCTTTAATGTTTTATTTTAAAATAATTTTAGGTTTCTAGAACAGTTTCAAAGGTATCACAGAATCCTGGATACCCTTCACTTAGCCTTTCTCAGGTTAACATCTTACATAACCGTGATGTGTGTACTGTGTTAGCTCTTAAGTATGAATTGTCCCCCCAAGACTCATATATTGAGTCTTGTAGATGAGTTGGTGGCTGGCTGGGCTGTCAGGATGTAGGGCCCAGTGCAAAGAGGTAAGTCACTAGGGCTGCTCCTTTGAAACTTCCAGCCCCTTCCTCTGGCTTTTTCTGTTTATTCTGCTTTTTGGCTGCCATGCGCTCAGTTTTCCTCCAACATGTTGTTTCAGCCTTGGAGCTATTGAAACAAACATGTAAAACCAAGAACCAGAAATAAACCTCTTCTCCTTTACATTGCATATGTCGGGTATTTTGTTCCATGATGCAAAGCAGACTAATACACAAGAACTTAAAAGTTGTGTAATATGTTAAATACCAGTATTATTTATTCTACATACTACTAGTTAGTATTTGTTGTTTTTCATTGTTAGAAGTTAGTCTCTGTAGAAGTTTATGGCCCCAAAATGTGGCTAATCATGAAACATCCAACTCTAAATTAAGGAATACTACAAAATTTCTAACCATTACTCTTGAAAGTATCAAGGTCATAGAATCACTGTAACAGACTGGAAGAGTGCACCACACATGACCGCAAGTGCACTGTGGCATCATAGATTTGATTCTGGAATATAAAAAAAGATAAGTATAAATGTTCATACACTGATCGTGTATATGTCCTGAAACCTTGCTAATTTTTAATTCTTGTAGTGTATACTTTTAGCTTTTCTGTATAGACAGTTGTGTCATATGCAAGTATGGCACAGTGTATAGTTCTTTTAAATTTATTGTGTGTTCCTTTCTGTCTGGGAACTCCTGACCAAGAGTGATGAGATGGGACTTGTCTTCTTCCTGGTATTGAAAGGAAGAGCAGTTTTATACTGTTAAGGAGAATGTTAAGTGTAATATTTGAGTGTTGCCCTTGCTGAGAATGTCTATCGTGAATGCTAATTTTTTCATGTATATGTTTTTGTAATGTTTGGTCTGTGAATTTGATGAGTTAGCAGTAACATTAGTTATTGAGACAGCTTTGCATTTCCTGGGTGAATACTGTATTGCAAGCAATATATTTATGAAATTCAGTTCTCTAAAGTTTCATTGGTGACTTTAAATTATTTTTCAAAGAATACAAAATGATAATAGAAAAAACAGCATTAGAAATGATAGAAAATTTCACTAAACGAAGTAATAATTCAGCAATGGTTGATATATTGCATGCTGTTATCTTCAAATTAATATTTAGGTTACCAGAAATAAACGTGCAATATTGGTTTCAAGAAAAAACAATTAACAAGAAAGTTACAAGAAATTCAAAAGAAGAGAGATAAAAATAAATAGAAAAAAAATTTAAACATTAACTGCTCCTTTCAAAAGACCAGCAGAAATCGACGGTACAATTATCCAGAAATCGACAGTACAATTATCCAAACTATCCTGCATGTATTTTTTCCCCTTCTTTCATCTGTTTCTCATCCTTGTTTTTCCTTCCTATTGAAAAATTCTTGATAAGTTTTTGTATCTTTGCTCACCTGAGGTATTGACCTGTGGTTTTCTTCTAATGTTTTTGCTTTGAATTGAGAAATATTTCTTCTCTGTTCTGGAAGAAGTTGTGTAGAATTAGTTTGCCAGTTAAAGCAGTGGGGTCTGAATTTTTTTTTTTTTTCTTCCCAAAGCTTTTACATGTTAATGTTTGTACAGGAAAATTTAAGTGAATTTGTTAATTTTTTGATTTTGCAAAGATTTTGCTATATAGTGAAGATGGAAGGTAGAGATCCCAGTGGAGTTTCTGCTTCTGTTGTGGCAACCATTTTTTAGATCTGCACCACAGTGAGTACTTCTTAGTGATCTTTTTGGTGAGTGCCAGGTAGATGTTGTAGCCCATTCTGTGTTTTGTCTTTACCAGTCAGTCAGCTGTCCTAGCTGAACTATCCCAGGTGGGCTTATGTCACTTCTGTTCTGATAAATTTGTGATGAATTCTTTCTTCTGTAATCTCAGGCTTTGTAAAAGTCTGGTTTTTCACAGCAGCAATGCAAATTCAAGGTGTATTACTCAGTTGAGATGATTTTTGAAGAATAGTCTGACCTGTATTCATAATGATTAACCCAGAAAGAGTAAGGTAATGTGGCAGTGTACAGTATACTAAGCATTTGCTATGTAACATTTTGATAGCTTCTATTTCTTTAGCAGTTTGAAAAGTACATTTGTTAGATGTAGTTCACATAAATCAGTGACTTGAGAGCTCCCAAGAATGTTTAAAGAATACTTCATTTTGTAGGGTTTGGGCTTCTGTTTCAAAAGACAAGAAATAAATTGAACACTATGGTCTAAAAATAGGAAGATTAACAGTACTACAGTGGGAATCTTATGAGTTCAAATAAATTGATTCATAGGTAAAATTTATTACTTGTTAAGTTACAAAATGAAAGATGGCTTTATACTTTCTGACTTCCAAACAAAGATTTAAGGCAACATTTTTTTAGAAAAAATTTTATTGTAAAGAGGAAAAGAAAAACGAATAACAAGAACAAAGACAAAAAGCAACATGGGGCTGGCGAGATAGCTCAGTGGACTAAAGCACCTTCTTAGATAACCACAGAGACCATAGTTTGATCCCCTGTACCATATGCTGCACCAGCTCTGCCCCTAGGGCAGGCTGAGCCGTCTAGAGTCCCTGTGTAGTGGTGCGCGTCTGTAATCCCGGTGCTGGGGAGTCTTAAAACGAGGAAATAAGCTGCGTAGTGAGACCCTGAAACAGCCAAATACATTAAAAGAAAAAATAAAAATGATAGTTTTAAAACAAGAATAGAAAACTGATTATGGTACATACTATCAAATTTGTTGATTGGATTACCAGATTTAGGCATGCAGGTTTGCTCAAACATTAACTCTTGTTTTCACTAAATGTTAATTTTTTAATTGTCTTTTATATTTTCTTTAAAATTTATTTTAAGGAATATAAAAATAGGCAAGACATGAGAATCAATACACATTTTTAAAAAGTAAAATGAAAAGTATTCAATAGTGGTTATTGTACATTGCTCTTTCAGTGTGGTTGCTGAGATTACAAATACATAAAATTGATCAAAGTAAAAATTTTAAACTACTTTCAAAAGAGTGATAGAAATTAGTAGTACAATCATCTTAGCTATCTTATGTATATACATGATTTCCCCCCATCTTTTCTCCTTTCCCTTCACTCATTTATTCCTTATGTTCAGTTTCTTTCCATTTTACTCTTTATCTGTTGCACCTTTCAGTTTTTTTTTTTTTTTTTTTTCAGGTTCTTACACTAGGGAGACATTACAATGTTTACATATGTGAGTCTGATTATTTCACTTAATGAATATAGCC